AGTATTGAAGCATAAAACATTGTATTTATTCCATATGTTAAAGTCCGTTTTAATATACATACATGCCTTCTAGTACCTGCGCAAAATTTTTAAAATACACACTAACGCCAGACATGTCGGCACCATTCTTATTATAATCTTGGCTTCCTCCTCTTTGAAACAATGCTTACGTTTATTGCCTTTGCTTTACAAAATTTACCATATAGAAAATCTTGATTCCTTTGTAGATACGAGCACTGCGGCTGGCGTGTTGCAACCCACAGGCCAAATTTGTTAAGTATGATGATGATGATGATGATGTTGATGATTTGATCTTGCCTTTGTTGTACAAGGCGCAAAAGGCGTTCTACATCACGAAGCTTAACAATAAGTTGTGATCGTTATAAGCACATTGATTTTATCGTATATCTTGGAGCCTTCAGAGCCTCAAATTTTAACGTATCTATTTGCAAAAATTATGATAAAATTATTTCATTCTAAATGCATAGTACCTATAGTGTAAAAATAGCACAGCACACATTTTTATGAATAATCTCTTCGTAACATATTAGGATACGTAAATATTTATTACGTGTATATCAAGGAAATATACTTTTAGTTATTATCAAGCATTTGTCAATCAACTCTTATGTTCTATGTATAATATTAATTTATTTATATACTATTTTTTTTATAATTCATATTTGGCTGTGGATAAATGCAGACGTATAGAGGTTGTTTGTGCTTAAAGGTTTATTTTAAATATAATGAATTAAATTGAGCTAGCAAGAACAATGAGTTTCAATTACTTGATAACTACAAGTCGCCTTGATTTGACTAATATATATTTTAAATAATCACTATGAAAAAAGGGTTGTTTTGAGTGAAACGCAATCCAAAATTATTGATTTTAAGTGCTTGTAAAAATAAACAGATTAATATTTTGCTGTAATTAAACTTCTTTAAATTTGAGGAACTATAAGTTTATACATATTCTACAGTATGTAATTTTCTTTTTAATTAAGTACTAAGAATGAATACTAAGTAAGAGGATGAAAGTATGTTTTATTATCGGGTTTTCTAAATAATACTTTATAACAGATTGATCAGTTAGGATTGTATGTGCAATTGTTGGATATGTTGGCCTTTGGTATTTTTCTAGCAAGTGCATGAGCTTTGAAGCGATAGGTTGAAAAAAAAGTTTCAAGAAGTAAGAGAGCTTTATCTTAATGGGTTATTATGTGCAAGTTAAAAATAACCAAAATATATTTTCATGATTTTCATCATATCTATTCTCAATAGAGAAAAATAACCATATGATACCCTCATAACATCTCAATGGTTTTGATCGAATACAAAATGTTGATTACAATAATTAGCTAATTTAAGTAATATTAATAATTTAATTATGTTATGTAAGTTGAGTAGTTTATTAGAATTTGATTTTGGTAGAAGTGCTAGTTTAAGTTGCATAGACAAAGGCTTTTGAAGGATTTCTGCAGTTTTTTTTGTTGAGTCCAACTCGATGTAATTTACTTATATTTGGGACAGGAAAACAATTGAGCATAAAGAGTAATAATTTTTCTTTTATAATTATTTGTATGAATGCGGCTTCAGTAGCATGTTGAGCATATTAGTCTATAAGGTTAACAATAATGTAGATCATACTAGTCGTAGGTCTCATATATTTAGAGGATCAAACGCTGACAAGAAGCTAGTGCAGTGTTTCGCTTAAATGTATTTTAGATATTTTAGTTTATAAATGGTATAGAAGCTCTCACGAAGGTATGACAGAAAAAAAAAATTAAACAGATCATACTTGCTAAAACAGGAATTGCTACCATAAAGATAACTGTGTTGTGGCTCATAGCTACGACTTTTACAAAGTGTTTATAATAAAGCTATATATAAGAAAATTAGTTTCGAAACTAATCCAATTTCAGCGAAGACCGAAACCAAACTACCGCCTGTTTAAGGGCATTGTTAGAGTTACAAATAGGCTCAAAAGTGTTTCAACTAACAATGAAACGTGGGTATAAGGCTTGAGAATGAAACTAACGTTCATTGGGGTAGATTAGAAAAATGTCGCGGGCCGCATGTATATTACCCACTAACCGCATCTATCCCTTGGGCCGTGCTTTGGACAGTCTGATCTAAATCATTAGTAGATGAAGTTAATGGTTTATTTACTGATTTCCAATATTCGGTAGTGAAGGTTATGTATAGATAACATAGAAACGATTAAAATGGACGCTATGAAAGTTAGAGATAATGTTACTGATGAAAGTGACGACAAAGATACTAGTGAACACCAATTTGTACAAACTGTTAGTTCAACAAAAGTTTTGGCTACTTTTAACAAACAAGCACTTGTGAAGTAGACAATCTCCATATTTGAAACTTATTGCTTTTAAAGAAATTTCGAGAACAAATTGTGCATAAAATGATTTTCGAAAAAAATACAAATGCTTGAGACCGATAACCTTTCAGAGTTATTATATGAAGATTAAATTACTAAAAATTTCTTTATCAATCACATTAAAAAAAAAACCTAAAAAAATTTACTGAACATTTCGATTATGTAAACAACCTTTATGTGAATTACCTCATATAATTGAGCACTTACTGTATCTGAATTTGATGTTGGTATGCAGTTTTATTACAAGATTGATTTGTAATACATTTTTATATTTTAATTTTGTCTATTATTTTAGTTTGTCAATTTTAATTTAATCATTTAGTCATGAAAATTTTTTTGACAATATACAAAATTTTTATATCTATTATTGCAAGTGCATTTCAATATGTCAAAATATAGTAGATACATTTAACTAACCCGAAACAATCACTTTTCTATACATATTTGAATTACTTAATATATGCAATGGCCTAAAGAATGACAATGAATGGCTATTAATGATATATTAAACCAAATTTTTATTAGTAATTATCTATTAGTGATTACTCTATATCTTTACTCTATTTGGAATTCATGCATTTATTGCTGTTATTTTAATGATTTGAAAACTATTTTTAAAAACATAAACATTTTATTTTTTAGAGTTATTTTGATCATCAAATTTGGTAACTTGCATTAGTTGCACATCATATATATTATAATACAATTTTAGTAATAAAATGTGCAAAAATTTTATATATAAAAAATTTTATAATTTATGATAATTTTAGCTTTACAAAATTGTGTTAATTGATTAGCCTATTACATTCTTAACTTTTAACCTTACTAAAACTAATAATGATCCCTCGTAATTAAATAATTGTTAATTACTTGAAGCGTACTTAAATAACACCACTAAAAATTTGGTTTCCTAAATAAATATGACAGTGAGTGTAGTTAGGATTATTGATTGTTAAAATCATAGAGATTTATTCTACAAATTTGTGGATTACAATTCAAACCTCATGTCTGAAACGTTTTAAAAAAAGATACAATTTTTTTTACGACAGATGCTGTATCTTGCGTTGTTTTTTTTTATGAATATTCTCTTAAAACATATGTTTGTACATATATTGTGCATTGATCTGACTAAGCACCGTATATATTCTAATAAACCGTGAAGCGCACCTGGAGGCAATCTTCACTCCTCTGATCGCTACATTAATGTGGACGCAATATTTAATATATTTTAGTCACACACACACAAACGTACATATAAATATATATTGTATATGTTTTTTTTTACTAGTTTATCAAACTTTTGTATCAACAACGATCACATCGATGGATGGATGGATTGATATCGACATCACTATCGGCACACATGTATAGTGTGACTAATTAAGGTTTAAAGTAAAAGTAACTGAAACAAGAAAATTGTGCTGGAATATATGAATAAAAACAAATATTCATACAAAGTTGCGGACAGACGAACATATCAACCAACAACCACTGCCTTTGGTAGGCAACAATCCAATGCAGTGCAGATATTGTAAGTCAGTTTAGACAATTGGTCTGGCGGCTTACGGGCCAAACTATTGATGTAGGCTCAAAATATGATTTTGTTTTGTTATATACAAGATATTTTCCTTAAGTTTTTGCTTCAATTAGCCAAAGTTACGCTAATTTATGGAAGAATAAAGAAGGGCGGCAGCATGTTCATTGACATATTATTGCATAAAAGAGGATAATGCATGCAGGCAACGTGACATGAATTAAGCCAACTTACAAGTGAGGCATAAAAAAATTGTTTTAAATGTTGTATTTGTGTGTTTTGGAAAATATTTAAGGTGCCAACCAATGAACGTGCGTGCCAATTTATGTGCAGAATAACAGCACTCCATCCACATCTACATTCATATCGACCATCGACATCGACATCGACATCGGCAATCACATCCAACAACCAGACACCGGAAGTTGGCAAGTCAAAATTTGTGTTTGCACCTTGCCGCAGCATTACTAAGTTGTATGTGCCATAATCAATTTCTTAACGGCCTGGGTGGCATTGCCAACCTTGTACAACAATTTGTCAATGAGTTTTTAGTACCAGTACAACCTACGAAACTACTGAACCTATAAAATTTACTGCTTATTCTACATATTGAAGTTGCGATAAATGAGTAAAGAAAAAAAGGAAGACAATAGAAATGGAAATTTGTCGCAAGCAACGTGTAATAAATAATACCAGCGGGAGGGAGTCTTGTTTGGCATACGGCAAGTCGTACAAGATGCAAAGGAACCTATTGGCCAGATAAAGAGACTAAAGGCTTGCTAGACACGTGACTATTTGGAATTCGGAAGTTTGTTTAGCTTCCGTTAGTGAAACTCAAGGCTTTTGTGCGGTTTTTGTAACCACTGATCTTTTATTTGCAAACACTGTAGTTAATGTCGGTACTTTAATGATTTTCCTATTGAGAACGAATTCACAATGTATTCATTGTTTTTAATTGATTTTACAATAGCACAGCCATTCTTGTTTATATCTTTGGGGTTAAAATTTTTGCAAAAAAAGAATTCTAATACGGGTGTTAGGTTCAAATGTATTATTTGTATATGACCTTTAGTTGGTGATTACAGAATTTATTGCTTCCTGCAAACCTGAAAATGTATTGTTTATAGTAACGTTGGCTAATGCTTTTAACAACATTACACCAAGTTGTTTGCAAACTTCAGTCTGACAACCAGTATGAGTTCTATACAAAAAACAAAACAAAAAATATTAAATTTACTAGTTTCAGTTTTCATTTAGCACTTAAATAATAAAATTTATCTTCTTGCTGCACTTCAAACTGACAGCGGAAGTTAAGTAATTGAAGATATACAAAACAAACTTCGGTATAATTGCAAATACAGTTCAAAGTTCAAAAACTGTCGTAAATAAATTATTATTAATATAGTTTGTACAAAAAAAGAAAAATATATATATCATTAAATGATTAATTTTCTCACCTTAATTAGTTTTTCTCGTATTTCCCAACTAAAAATTCCTGGGTTGGCTTTTCGCAATTCTTCTATGCGTGCTTCTATTTCAGGCGATGTTACTTTTGGCTTAGAGCCGCCAATCACACCAGGTCGTATAGATCCCGTTTCTTGATAGCGATTCAGAATTTTTGATACACAACCATGAGATACGCGCAATTGACGTGAGATCACACAAGGCCTTATACCGTTTGCGGCCATTTCAACAATTTTTAAACGTATATGATTTGGTAGCGGACGACCATTGATGAAAACTCCACCAAGTTGATTAACTCTACCTTGACCTGAAATATACAATCACCTTTTTGAGTATCAAATATTAAATATCAAATTTATGTAAATATGAGTTGGGATTATTCTATAATTAATCACTTAATATAATATTTTTTTTTAATTATATCTGAATATCATTAAAAGACATTATAGTTCTCAACTACTTTAATTTACAATAATGCAATGAATATACATATATAACACAAAATAGAGTAAATTCAGTTTTTCGTTCAAGAAACGAAAAAAATTATATTAAAGAATTAATGCTATTTTAGTGTACTTATGTACACTAGTTTATGTGTAAAAAAAACTTACTCTGAGCAAACACGAGTAGAATCAATAATACGAAAGTTTGTTATATATTAAATATATAGTAATAAGTATAAAATAAACTAGAAAAAAATCAAAAATTAATTCTTTGGTTTAAAAAACTACAAAAAAAAATTTATATCAAAGAATTTGTCCACTTTCAATTTTAGTCGACATATAAGATAGCTAAGAAAACTCATCCAGAGCAAAATAATAAAATATATATATGTTTATATACAGATTATATAGTAATAAATATATAGTAATAAATACAAAATAAATGGTAATCAATATTTGCTGAACTCGACAACCTTATAACATTTATATAAACCTAATCCTAAATCACAAAATTGATGGTGAAAATCACAACAAGGAATAGAGCAAGGAATAGAAAATATTAACTCTCTGAAATCACAGCTCAAGCATATTTAAATAAATATTTATACAAAAAGTTTGCGAGTTTGCAATATCAAAAACATAATTTCTTAAACACAACATCTTAAACAGGACTTTGTTGATATGATGTGAGCAAATAAAGTAGACTATTTTTATAGAACCTTATAAGTGAACTGTTGGTTAGGAAACTATGGTAGAAGATTAAATCCTTTCAATGATTCCTGATGTAGCTATAACAAGGTGTAGATATTGCTCCATATTTACTTTGTGATAGTTTAATGCATACTAAACGATAATTATAGCACATTTTCACAGGCTTCGTTACATCAGTTAACTTACTTGAGATTCAAGTAACTCAAGCAATCTCAAGTAAGTTAACTGGTCTAACGAAGCCGGTGGAAACATACTATTAAAGATGCTAAATAGTCATTTTCTAGAGGATATTTATTAGCCAGAAGAGCTATTTTGCTACAGATTATGCTAGAGAACATCTTAAGCATTATTAAAAGTTTCAAATGACTTTGAGCCCTTTGAGTTTTGTACAGTATGTCACTGTAAGTCAATAAGTATAAGTGAATGACTATCTCAAAAAATATAGCATACATAATAATTGGAACGTTCTAACGGCACTCGCATATATTTTATATCAAAAGTATTAAATAAAATAAAGTAACCATTTGCAAAATAAAAACATTTGCGCTAAGCCATTTCTAGCGGTTAACTCTTCCATTGACGACAGTCGAGGTCGATCAATTCAAAAATTGCTTTTTTACTTGATAATTCTGACAAATATTGAAAGAGCTTTCTTTGAGAGATCATTTTTTTATTCCCAAGTTGAAAGTTATTTTCATTAAATGAGGCGATGATATTCTACGTAAATGGACTATGTTGTCAGATACAAAAAGTTGGAGAACTTGAGGTACGGAGAATATTATATTGTTTTGTGATAACGTACGATTTAAAATTCACATTAATAATAAAATGTGAGAATAGTTTCAGTATCAAAAATGTTTTTCATATGTCTTATTTCACATATGTTTTTATTTATATATTTTTTATCATTTCGAACACGTATAAATATTGACGATTAAGAAGAAGACTGAAGATGAAGAACATTAAGTCTAATGTTTTACCGAATATTGTTTTTTGGAACTTTAATTTTTAATTCCTACTAAGATCCGATATAATTCTTAATAAATTAAAAATACTTAAAAAAATTAACTAAAATACTCGCTTTCACAAAGTGTTACATTTGGAGCAGTTAATTACTTCTGTTTCCTCAAATATGTAAATGAATTAATTAATCATTCAATACTAATATGAATAATACTAAGATACTAAACATAGGCGCTTTGCATATCGTTATATACTCTACTTAAGACTTGTCAAACTATGTAAAAGTAACGCTTATTCGTAGAAGAAAAAATTTCTGATAATAAATATTGTTAAGATAAAGTTATTAAAATTAATTTCTTTAAGGAAAATTGCATGCTCAGTTGCACATTTATACGGCTATTCCAATTACTAACAGTATTGAATTACTTTAACCAAATATATGTTTTCACAATATTCTTAAATATGTTAATTAAAAAGTTATGAATCAATAAAATAAAACTCAGATATAGACACTTCTGGTGGGTGTGATAACAACTCACAACGCAATACGACCAATTTAGCTATTGTGGCAACTTAAGAATTTTACCATCCAAGTGATTTAAAAACGTCGCATATTATTGTACTGTTATGTTCTGCCATTTTTGAGGTAGAGAATCAAAATTTCAACTTTTTTCTAAGTTCATCAAATAAAGTTTATTTAAAAACTTTGAGCTAGATAAATTGAGAATGAAATTTAAAAATTTTTATAAATGTTATTGTATATAATAGCATTCATTTGAAATAAGGTATGTAAGTTATGTATAACATTTTTATTAATTCAAGAATCGATTTATATTTGAAAATAGCAATCAGATAATTATAAAGACAACTCCTCGTAACATTTATTTCCACCAAAATTCGTCATTAAGCAACACAAATTATTGTTTCCTTATCATATGTTACTTTCACGAACAACGCTAGTCACTATAAATTTTAAAACATTTAGATATGTAGTGAAATACTGTCTTATTTACTCAAGTAACATAAAAGATCGTACATATTGCCTATGTTCTTGAGCAACAGAATTACATAAATAGATTTAATCGAGCTCATCTAAATACAAATATATCTCAGATCATCAAACACTTTCTTATTTAGTTAAATAACATCAAAGATCCCACAGAGTTGAACAACTGGAAGTCATGAATATATTTAGTCGGGTTTGTTTAAATACGAATATATCTCAGTCTACCTTTGCGTCCACTTTTCTCATAGTTTTTAAGATAGATCAAAAGAATTTGGAATTTTCGGAAAGTAATACTGTTTATTTGATCGGAATTTTTAAATCCAGCTGAGAGATTATGATTTATAACTGTCGTATAAAATGAGCAAATATAAATAATTATTTGATTTAATTGAAAATTAGCTACTTTTATGTAATATACAATATTGTTTTTAAGTTTCATTCAGATCTGTTGTTTTTTAAATATTAAATTCTTTCAAAATAATGTTTTTAAACCCAAGTTCCTAAAAAAAAATTCACATATTACGTAGCATAGGATTTTATTTAAGATGTTAAATTTTTTAAGTTATATTGAATAGCATTACCAAAAATTGAAAGGGCTTATTTTATATTCATATATCATCGATATAAGTTAATAATTCAGATACAATTTTTTGTATGACAAGCTATTGCATATGTTAATATATTCTCTTCAAATATAGTATATGAATATCTCCAGCTAGAATTTTCATTACAGTTTGAATCAAAACTATCCATTCAGATTTAAACATAACTTATAACAAAAAACTGTTTTATTTCTAAATATTTTCTACTTAAGTTGGTTTTTGAAAAACAAGTTTATAAGTATATTGCATTTTACTGCTAAATTTAAAGTGATTTATTAAAATTTTGGCTAAGTTTTTATTTAAGACGATATACCAGTATTTTTTCCCATATATATTTGCCAACACCTTTTCCCTGAGATCAGTAATTATTACAATATTTAAAATGGATGTAATAAGCTTAAATTTTTATACCTATTCTTTGTAAACTTATTGTTTATATATAATTATTTTTTATGTTTTTAAATAATTTATAACAGAAGTTAGCCTATAGAACAACGTAAGATATATTGTTTTTTATAGTACACTTAAACTGTATCCCGGTACGAAATCAATATAAGACAATGAACTAGTATCAAGGTACACAACGAGGCCATGGGCCATGACAATGTATAACTGTTAATGTAAATTTAAAATGAAATAGTTTTAGAAACCCAGGGTTCTTCATAGATGTAATGTTAACATAAGAGTATAGCAATAGTAGAGATAGCTATTCATAACGGTTTGATTATCATAACTTATTCTGTGCAAAAATATATTATAGAATTACACTCAAATATAAAATAAGAATTATAATAAAATAAATTTAGAGTTTCGAACTGAATTTCTCTGAGTATACAAGATTGAATAGTAGGCTATACTAGTGAAAATTAATGCAGATCTATCTGGTATATAAAATCATTTTTATTGTTTGGTTATACGAGATCTAGATACTGTTTCCCTGATTTCATTTTCTTGTTTAATGATTTAATATAAAATTTTATGATCATGATAAAATATATGTATCTCGATATTTGTTATATCAGCACTAACCTATAAATAATTTTCTAAATCTGACCTAATCTGATATACTAAAGCATCTAGGTTTTCTCGGTTCTATTGTTATAAAATAGAGTGATTTTGAATATGTGTATATTCGAATGCTTTATATGAGTTCATAGATACCATAGATGTTTATGTATTAAGGTTTTATTAGTACTATTGTTTCAAAATAAAATGATTTTGATTACATTTATATTTGTATTGCTTTGTATTAGTTTATAGACACCATAGATACTTATGTATTAGGAATTTCTAGGTTCTATTGTTTCAAAATAGAGTGACTTCGAATAGATTTGTATTCAAATTAGTTTATGTTAGTTCATAGATATCATATATACCTATATATTAAAGATTTCTTGGTTCTATTGCTTAAAAATAAAGTGTATTCACATTGTTTTATATTAATGGAACATTTATTATATTTATTAACTATAGATCATGTTCCCCTCTTTGAAGAGTAGTTTAGTTTCATTTGAAACGAAATTATCATATACTGGTATATAAGTACCAGTTCAATGGTTTTAGCGATAATGTGTACTCATGAAGGGACATAATATGTGTAGGTATGTGTTTTATATTCTAAATTTATTAGCAATAATTATTTTACATATCTTTGGAAGTTATTATTATTTCAAATTCTGTAGTTAGTACACTATCATACGGATAGCTTAAATCTAAAATTGATATATGTAGAGTTCAGTTAAAATATATTAGTAACATCTGAGCCAATATCAAAAATGAATGTATGTGATTTTAAGCTAAATTTGTCGGTAATATTTTAAGAATCTTTGATTGTTAGTTAATAAAAATGTATGTGATTTTAAGCTAAATTTGTCGGTAATATTTTAAGAATCTTTGTGTGTTAGTTAATATAAAATATATATATATACATAATAAAATAGTGGGATCAATATTTTAATGATATCTACTTCGTCGCATAATATAACGGTTTGCTGTTTTATATACAGCTTCCCTAATGTGTTTTAATAAACATAAAAGAAAGATAATTCAAAGATATAATTTCTTGATAATAGAAATTATTTACATTTGTATATGTATACATAAATATATTTGTATATATATACTACATATATACTATAGTATTTCAGCTATTTTACATATAAAGACAATGTTAGTTTTCTTAATGTAATCATTCTAGAAACATATAATTAACATAATATATTTTTTGAAATTTTGTATGTACCATATATTTACCTTGAAATGGGTACCCAGATATGAAGGGACGCATATTTAACGGGTTCGCGCTGGTCATATCCATTGTGAGCGATTATTATTAGTACTTAGGAACTTTAAAAATTTTCCAAAATATATATTTTGGAAATTATTTGTTTAATAAACTTTGGTAAATTAAACGCACCAAAAAAAATTGCACCCAAATTTCCACTTCATTTGTATTTTTCATAAGTACGGTTTTTTTTTTTAAAAATAACTTTTAATTATAAATAGAATTCTTTATTATGATATCATTTTTTAGAGCACAATTATAAAAATCTAACAATTTGCTTCAGTTCCTTCAGGAATGAATCCATAATAAACAATATCGAAATTATATACATAGCGCACGTATTTCCGTCGGATGTCCATACATTTTCAAAAAAGTGTTTCTCGTTACATGAAGCATTTGTTGTTTCGCGCACCTTCACGATCAAACAGCACGACACTTGGTCCACAACTAAAGAGCGCGCGAGCAAGCTGATAAATTAACGAAGCCAGAATGCAAGATCACGACGAATAAACTGGTTTGACGAAATATCAATACAAAACAAAAAAACAAAACAAAAAAAACGAACAGTATTGGGTTGTTTTTGCATTAAGCTTGTAAATATGCGCCCAAAGTGGGCTGGACTTTGGTAACAATAAGAAACAATAACAAAAAATCGAAAAAATTGTAGTAACACAAATAAAGTAGAAACTTGAGAGCCGGTTCGATATCAAAAACATTCAAGAGCGCGGTGTGACGCGATATACAACAATGGCAACGATCAATCGCGGTGCTATAACGAAATGAAGCGAGGAGGACACAACTTTACCACACTAAAGTGGTTGTGTGAGTTGTTTTGGCTTTTGTGTGTGTTGTGTGTGTTTATGTGGGTTATATGCGGGGATGACTTTCGATATGTGTATGTATGTGCAACTATAAAAATATACTATATTGAATTGAGTGCATATCAAAACCACGCCTTGCATTTATAACACATTGATATGAACTGCAAGCGAAGCATGTATTTGTAACATTCGAAAAGGGTCTGTGTATTTAGATCGACTGTAACGTGATTGGTTGCACAAAAGGGAGTATTTATTACTTATTGTTTAATGTTCGTCGCAAGTTTAAAATATCATCTTCAATAGTTTTTATAAATGTTTGGAATTGTTCGTGTGCAAGCAAACACTTTTTCCCCTTTCTGTTTTAATTAAAAAAAAAAACTACAACAGGAACAACAACAACAATAGAGTATAAAAATTATACGCGATGATCGTAGTCCTGAGGAAAATCCACAATGAACTCAACATCAATGTAAATGTTAACGAAGCAGCAGTAACAGCAGCTGTCAGTTTTGCTGCTACTGTCATTTATACTGTTACCGCTGCGCACTGCAATGGCTGCCACTGTTGCTTTGAGTTGCTTTGAGTTTTGACATCAGTGAAATGTATGACATTTGTCGTTTGCAGCCAATTAAAGCGTGAAGGCTGCTGCCTGCCGTTCGACCAGGATATACAAATATGTAAAATTAATTTCGAAATGCTTTTGGTGCACGTTTATTTAGTACTAGACCGGGTGCTGGGCTCTCTCTGCCTGTTTAAGTTCTCTGTTGGTTTGGCATTTTTGCACCCACGTAGCAGTTGACATAATTCTTGCATTGTATTCCATTCATGGATAGGTCGTTGTTCCTTGCTCCTTTGTTTTTTTGTTTATTTTTGTAACTAATTTTATGAGGGTTGTTAGTGCAAGTCATTTTTCTTTTCTCCAATAACTTTTTTCACAGCTTTCCTATTCCGAATTGTCAATGTATTTGAAGTTAAAAATTTTGTATGAAAACTAAATTAACTTAAGTTTTTTAAACTTAACATGAAGAGATGACATGACCATTTATTTATTTTAATATCTAAAATTTAAATTTAAGTTTTTGTATGTTTTAAGGCATAACTTTAATGGAAAGCATTTATTCCTTACTTACTTAAATGGCCATAACAATCTGTTATCGGGTTTTGGCCTGCTACAGCACTGTTCTCAAAACACACTGCTGGACTTCTTCATTAACTTGTTCACTGAAATGGAGACATGGTTTACCAGTACACCTTCTTTCTCAAACTACAAATACCTTTTTCGAAGGTTTGTTTTTCCTATAAGTTTCCACAACTTCTGCAATGAGTATTAAAAGAAAAGCACTATTCTTTTTGTGGGTTCCTACAGTAACCGTTGTAGTATTCCTGTGATTTCTTCTAAAAAGTTACTAAAATTTGATCTTATTATATGAGAGCCATATTAATAGGTAGACCTTAGTGTCTTCCATTCATTATTGGCAAGGTGAAAAAAAGGCGGTAAGTACTTCTCTTAAAAATTTATCAAGTATAACCGATTTGCTTGTCAATTGTCTCTCAATATTATTCAACAAACTATGATTTTATGATAAAATATTGAAGCGCTTTAATGGCCACTTGGCTATCAAAAAAAGGCACCATTCTTTTCCCTGATATAACTTACAATTAGTTGATATGTTACCCTACTTGCTAAAACTTTAGCCTGAAATTGCAGCTTGACTAAGTAACCTAAGGGAGTGGTTTGGCGCTAATATGACTGCTCCTATCCCGCAGTCCCTTTTTTGAGATATTTATGAAAATAGATACCTCGCAGTTTGCTAGAAAGTTTTTCTTTTCACTCATTTCTTGACGGAAAAGTTATCTGAAAATTTGTTTCAAATAATTCGATTTCATTCCATGCAGACAGAAGTATGTCTAGAGTCCAGCTATGTCTATATGTTCGTTCTGTCCAGACGCCTGTCACTTTCAGTCTGACAGTGTTATTGTAAACAACATTTTTAATATAAAGATTAATGGGTAGCAGATATAGCATTACGATTAGGGTGTCTGAAAGGGCCGTCCTAGGTACTCCTATAATGCTAACAGATTCTGTTTTCTAAGTTCTACTGAGTTTTTGAGTGTGAGTATTGGGTGCACAATGGTTGTGTATGTCCAATGTGTAATATCGGACAATGTGAAATTCAGGATAAAACATTTATCCATCTATTTCTATCTTACAATTGCCAGGAGGCGTGTACAGACACTTTTGTGTAATTAGGAACTAAAAGCTATTATTACCTTTTGGTTTGTAGGGGCTTAACTTAGAGGGTTTTGAAACAACATAATATGACAATATGTCGATATGATATTTTGGTTTTGGTTATTTTATTGCTAATAACATTAATAGCGCAAATTTTGCGCTATTTTTGCTTTTGTTGCTCAAGATTCGGTAAGTTCCTTTAATCAGCTGGACACAATGGTTTCTCAGAAATTTATTTTTTTTCTATTTTTCTTCTTTCTCTTTACTTATTAAGAGTGCATCAACTTTTGCATATTCGTACTTAAATTTCTATTTTATTCTGTACTCTTGGTGTTATTAACATTAATTTACTATCCTATATCTTAGTTATGCGATGCTTATGCGGATAGTGACGTTTGTGTGTTCTGTTGTGCGACTGATCTGTACTAGTATGCTTTCGTCCTTTATTTATTAAATTATTAGTTCATTTTGTTAGTTCATTTTTTAAAATTACTAGCTGTGATATGTGGACTATTTCTGCTTGTTTGTTTTCCTAATTGTTTTTTATATGTATCAGTAAATTTTTGTATAATACTATGAATTTTTGTGTATGACATATTGTTTTTAGATCTTGACCTTTAATATTTTTAAATATATATATGGCTTCAAATTTTACTCAATTACTAGTTGTTATTGAAATCTATTGGATATATATTTTTATCAACGAAATTGTTTCACGCCCGACAAAATGATAAAACCCACAAAGAAGCCGAGTTTTGGACAACTTTGAGGAGTACGATTGTGCAGAAATGAGAAGAGTAAATTATTCCTGAAGTACATCAGCGACAAGCAAAACAAATGTCAAATACGAATACAAACTTGCTTTGAAAATCCCTTTGAGGGGTGGTACAGAGCACTTGGTCGTCGTGAGTGACGAATGACTTTGGGACGTAGACTCGACTGTTCTTGGATTCCAACCCAAGACACTTAGTTCGATATGAAGGTATAATAAAAGCGCTTTGCTACATCTATTATAGGATTGAAACTATAATATTATAATTCGTTAAATTATCAGGACTATATAATAAAAATGTGATACTTTCTGTAATTCTTTTTTCAAATCTTAAAGGCCATTGTACTATAATTGTCTTCACAACAATTTGATCAAATTTTAATCATTTAATACATATTTTTAAAAAATTATTTCAATTAATTAATTGCCGATTGAGCCAGAGGATCTGAATATTCTATATATATTTTCAAAAGTCTTTATACATATATTAAATTTTTTCGTTTTATGTCGTTGAATATATGTTAAACACTTTCTTTTCTTATTACTCATTTTATTAATAATATTCAATTTTTACTTAAAATATCTATCTTAAAATTTTTTTAGTAAAATTTTCAACGAATTTTATGAAATTTTAAAACATTTGCTGTTTGTATTGGTATCGTTTGCCATCTGTCAAAAATCCAATCTATAAGAACTCTGTATCACATTCAATAAGTTTCAATAGGAAAGTGTAAGTGTAAAGGATATGGTAACAAGTATGAAAATTAATTAGAAAAGCGTGAAGTTTCCGCACATTAAGGATCAAAGTATATTAGAAAAACCAATTTATTCGGATATTGGATCAAACAACAGTTGTTCCTTTATCAATTCAGCTTAGAATAAAAAAGAATAAGGATAAGTTTAGGCGTTAACATGACTTTGGGAATTTCACACAAAAATTTTGAAAAAAAGACTCTCACCAAACAACATATTAAAATTATTTTCTTGACTCTCAAAAATTAATTATTATTTTTGTCACTTCCTTTCCAAGGCAAAACTCATACATTAATGATGCATAAAATTTTAGATTTGTAAAAATTATGCACTTCAAAACACAAATATTTTTCTAGTCCAATAAAGTTCACAAAAATTGGATCTACTTGGTGTCAATTATTAATTGCCGTTCCAAGACCATAAC